TGCATATATGAAGGGCTCCTGAGCTGATTCTACCTCTCGACAGGATCTCCCAAACACCAAGTTTTGGAGTTTCTAGAGAAAAACCTCATTCCTCAACTGTTCTGGAAACGTTCTGTTCCCCAAGCACCAGACTTGAGAAAGAAATGTGGTATAACTTTAGGGTCAGACAGATATAAGTTAGAATCCTAGTTCTGGCACATACAAGCTGTGTGATCAAAATACCTCAACTCTGTTGGACCTAAAACAGTTATCTGTAAAGGGACCAACACACAGTAGGTGCTCAATAAATGCTGGCCTTTGTGTGTGTGTTTTAAATAATGTTTCATTGTGTTTTTGGTGAAAGTTTACATAGTAAATTAGGTTGCTCTTTGACAATTTCTGGAGCCCTACTGGCACAGTGGTTAAGAGCTCGGCTGCTAACCAAAAAAGGTCAGTAGTTCGAACCCACCAGCTGCTCTTTGGAAACCCTATGGGGCAGTTCTACCCTGTCCTATAGGGTCACTATGAGTTGGAACTGACTCTACAGCAATGGGATTTTTTTTTGTTTGGTTTGACAATTTCTACACAAATTGATCAATGATATTATTTACATTTTTCACAGCATCAACATTCTCATCAATTGTGTGCTGGTTGTTCTATTTCCAATAGTCTAGTTTCCCTGCCCTCTTATCTTTTCATATTTGCTGTGAATTAAATGTTGACCTTTTGGACTCATACAGATGTTTTTTTCAGGAGACCACCAATCTGATAGGTAATATCTTTTGTTTTGTGTGTCACTCTGGTTTTCCGTTAAAAGGTAATTTCAGGGAATAGTTTTGGTTCAAGGTTTAAAGAGCATCTCGGGGCGATAGTCTCTGGGAGTCCTCTGGTCCCAGGTGGTCCAGTTAGTCTTGGCCTTTGTGTTTTAATCCTACGCTCACTCAGAATCTTGCTTTGAAAAATTAAAAGCCGTATGACTAACACATAGTGGGGGTACTATATATGTCTCCAGTTTCCAGCTGTTTGTGTTATATTTCACATAAATTTATGTAACTCTGGCCCACATAGACCTAGGCTAGAGTTTAAAAAAAAAATTTTTTTTTTTTTTTTAATTAAAACAAGCCCTGGCTAGTTTTATTTCCTTTTTTTTAATTGTGCTTTAGATGAAGGTTTACAGAGCAAATCAGTTTCTCACTATACAATTAATATACGTTGTTTTGTGACATTGGTTGCCAACCCTACATGTCAACATTTTCCCCGTCTCGACCTTGGGTTCCCCATTCCAGCTTTCCTGTCCCCACCTGCCTTCTCATCCTTGCCCCGAGCTGGTGTGCCCGTTTAGTCTTGTTTTGTTTATGGGCCTGTCTAATCTTTGGCTGAAGGGTGAACCTCCGGAGTGAGTTCAGTACTGAGTTAAAAAGGGTGTCTGGGGGCCAAACTCTTGGGGTTTCTCCAGTCTCTGTCAGACCAGTGAGTCTGGTCTGTTTGTGTGAGTTAGAATTTTGTTCTATTGTGATCCCTGTCAGAGCGGTTGGTGGTGATAGCCAGGCACCATCTCGTTGTGCTGGACTCAGTCTGGTGGAGGCTGTGGTAGTTGTGGTCTACTAGTCCTTTGGACTAATCTTTCCCTTGTGCCTTTGATTTTCTTCATTCTCCCTTGCTCCAGACGGGGTGAGACCAGTGGAGTATCTTAGATGGCTGCTCACAAACTTTAAAGACCCCAGACGCTACTCACCAAAGTAGGATGTAGAACATTTTCTTTATAAACTGTTACGCCAGTTGAGCAAGATGTCCCCTGAGACCATGGTCTCCAGCCCTCAGTCTGGCTAGTTTTATTAAATAAAAAATTTTGTATGATTTGCTTTTCACCAGTCTGTTCTGGAATGCTTCTAATGATATTAGAGTCGCCTGGATCAATGGTAGCCAGTGTGTACTCCGTAGCATTTTCTGACTGCTGTGCCCAAATCAATATAATTGCCACTATAGTGATAGCAGTTCTGGCCAGTATGGTGTAGTACTTTATCATGGATTTCCCTCAAGGCCAGGAAGTTTTGGTGAGGATGACCAGTTTCACTTTGCCTTGCCTGATCATCTTCAAAGTCAGCTTGTACCCCAGCATGTACTTTCCACTTTTCATAACAAGTTGGACCCTAGAGTTGATTGACTCTAGTGACTTTTCAATCTTCTTTACTGCCACCATTTTCTTGCCTTAGAGCAGAATGGACCCCAAATAAGAACAAACACCAAGATAAGTGGGGAGCAAGAAAGGCTAGGCTAGAGTATTGATGTTCTTTCAATATTAACTTGTAAGTGAACACTGTTGTTGTTAGCTGCCGTAGAGTTGATTCCAACTCATGGCGACACCATGTGTGCAGAGTACAACTGCTCCATATGGTTTCCTAGGCTGTGACCTTTTGGAAGCAGACTGCCAGATTTATCTGCTGAGGTGCCTCCTGGTGGGTTTGAACTGCCTACCTTTTGGCTAGTAGTTGAGTGCTTAACTGCACCATTCAAGGACTCCTGGTGAACATAACTGACAATTTTAACAAAGTGATCAAAAATACTTAAAGGATAAAATTATTCATACATACTTTTAATAAGCAAAGCTGTTTATTACTCACTTAAGATACTTTTCTTCCTATAGAATAAAACTTAATTTTCCCATTCTTTTACTATTAAGAAAGGGGTGAGACTAAGTGACCACCAATATCTACTGTAGTTAAAAAAAAAATCGTGATTTTCTGCAATCTCATGACTTTCTTGAATCTCCCATAGAGATACACTTTATCAAAGCCCAATCCTTTTAGTAACTTTCATTATCTATAACTTTATGTTAAAAACATTAAAACCACAAGAACGGTGACAATTAAGCCTACTTCAACTTTGGTTCTCTTCTCTCTACCCTCTTTATGTTACTTGGGTAGTATTCTGTCCTTTCTGCCTTGTAAGACCTAGTTCGAAGTTGATCTGTCTCACTTTACTCCAGTCCACCCAGATTTTGCTGTCCTTCCAGCACTAACTGTATTTACGGCTAAGTACTAAATTGTATGACATTAATTTTAAAGTGCTTAAATCTTATTTCCCAATTAAATTGAAAGCAACCTGTGACCAGGCCCAGTAAATGGTGCTGCCACCTAATGACCAAAAAGCATTATATTTGTAATTTTTTTGCCATTTTAAAAAATACCAAAACCAAAATAAACAATAAAACTACTGAGATTAAAGTAGAAAGGGAACAAAAAGTAAAAAACCACCTTTGTGTCTAAAGTGCCTCTTGGCATTTATATCTTTTGTCCCAATTAATCTGGACTATCTCCGACACTTTCCACCACATTACATTGAGTTGTAGTCAGTATGACCTGGGCTGACATTTAGCCAGGATGCATCAGTTGAGCCAGTTGTTTCCAGCTGGCATCCATTCTGATTGTCAGTCCTCAGGCTGTACTGGTCGTTAAAGATTTTTACTATCTCCAATGAGTGAGCTGATCGGCTGGCAGATTTCAAACACACTCATTCTTGTGACTATAGAATATGCAACTCCAGAATTTCCCTAACGCTTCAGTCATGAAAATGTTAAAGGATTTTATGAAAAAAGTATTGCAATATCACTTTTGTTTTCATTTTCAAGTTTGTAAGTGGTTAATGCTATACCCGCTGTGACTACCTCTAATATCTATTGCTTAGCTTTTCTTAACCCATAATTCTCTGAATTGCATGTAAGTTTTTAAAGCTTTGAAAAGTGGAAATTTAGTCACGTAGGTAGAAAGCAAAAACAGAGGCTGCTTTGAGTAGGTGTTATTGATTTAACTGTGACCCCTAAAAAGATACACTGAAGTCCTAACCCCTGTACCTGTGAATGTGATCTTGTTTGGAAATAAGGTGTTACTTTGAAGATGTTATCAGTTAGGTTGATATGAGGTCATACCAAAGCAGAGTGCATTCTGATCCTTTCAAAGTGATGTCTTATAAAAGCAGAGAACAGACACAGAGACACACACAGAGGAAAGATGCCATGTGAAGAGGGATCTACAAGTCAAGGAATGCCAAGGATTGCTAGGAGGCACCAGAAGCAGCTGGGAGACAGGGGTGGAACAGTTTCTAAGTCTTCAGAACCAACATGGCTGGTACTCTGATTTGGACTTGCAGCCTCCAAAACTGTAACACAATAAACTGCTGTTCTCTAAAGCCTCCCACTTTGTGGTGTTTTGTTACCGCAGCCCTAGAAACTCATATAGCAGGTAAAGATGAGAAATAGACTTGAGGTGAGAGAAAGAGGGGTTTAGAAGCTGGGACTAAGTGGTTGCAGCTGCTAGGCTAATCTGTACAGTCTAGTCTAGGTCAGGAGCCCTGGTGGCCCAGTGGTTAAGTGCTCAGCTACTAACTGAAAGGCTGGCGGTTTGAACCCACCTGCCACTCCATGGGAGAAAGATGTGGTAGTCTGCTTCCATAAAGATCAAAACCTTGCAAATCTTATGAGGCAGTTCTAACCTGTCCTTTAGGGTCCCTAAGGGTCAGAATCCACTCGATGGCAACGGGGTTTAGTCTAGGTCTGGAGTCCTGGGTGGTGAGAACAGTTAACACGCTAGGCTGTTAACCAAAAGGCTGGGGGTTTGAGTCCAACCAGAGGTACCTCAGAAGAAAAACCTGGTGATCTACTTCCAAAAAACCAGCCATTGAAAACCCTGTGGAGCACAGTTCTACTCTGACATACATGGGGTCACCAAGAGTTGGAGTTGACTCAACAGCAACTGGGTTAGTCTGGGTCTTTTGACAGTGACACTACAGGTGTTCACCTGGCTAACAGAGGTCTAGGGAACCACTGCAAACGTTCCTAAGTGCTCTGACATCATTAGTGACTCTCCCTCTACTTTACGACCTTGTATTTGTATAAATTAATCTCATAAACCCTCCACACCAAATTAGTTCTTGTTAACAGTACAACAACCTGGTTGTGGCAGCAGGAACTCTTTCTTCTTAATTAATCTTATACCCATAACTATAAAGAGCATTAGAAAAGTAAAATCTTCAACACTGACATTTTATTTTTCGAACTTTTTATCATTTTTACAAAACAAAACAACAAAAAAAGCGGTATCAAAAACAGCAAAGTGTTTGCAGAATTTCTGCACCAGTTTCCAGGTAAGTCAGTGATTATGAAACTGGTGTCCATGTAAATACTGAACAGGCTGATTTCCCTCCTGGTCATGCGCATTCGGGTGATTTGTTTTGGAGCTACCGAAGACTAGTTTTTATAAGCACCAGTCATTTTTTGAGAACCGATTTGGTCCATCCAACATAGTAAACACTTCTTGCTGTGTGGCATTTTCTTTTTTTTAAAAAACACTGAGTTAAAACACAGAATGTATATTTGTTTGGATCTGAACCAAATCTTTTGAGATCCCAATTACCCTGAAGAACACTGAAAACATTTATAGGGCATATTAAGTATTAGCTCTACACCCTCATAATGAAGGCAGCTACCATATTTCTGCAGAAAACAGCATTTCATTCAGAGGCTGCCCAGAGTTTGAACTACATCATAGTTTCCACATCCTTTCTGATTTGGATTACACAAATAGGGCCACATTACTGGAACAAAAGTTTTATGCTCAGGCCAAACGGGCTCTCTATTTTACAGATTCATTTGTATAGAACAAGACGCCTTGCTCTGGACCCTGGGTGACCACAAAGAAATATGAGAAGCCATGATTAATGGATGCTGAGAAGAAGAAACATACTTAAACTTGCAGCATAGATAATCTGGAAGTGAGCAGAAACAGAACTGGAACATGGCCATGGTGCTCACCCACCATTTGTTCCAGAAACATATTTAGCTTAAATAGTGGCAGTACGGTCCAGTTTTGCAATGTTAATTAGCTGCCAGTCTCTCGTATTTTTTATAAAAATCATTGCCTGGCTAGCAGTGAGTTAGAACACTGGCCTCAAATTCTGATCAAATCTCTCAGTATTAGATTAAACAAAACAAAACAAAACAAAAAACCCAGCCAATAGGATTAAAAAATTGCACAATTAAACTTGAATGTAAATTATACTATATACAGACTGGTATACACATCACTGAAATGGTTCTGTGAACATGAAACACTTCTGTTGAAACAAAATTTCTTCTATATTATCCCAATTTTCATTAAAGGAAAACTGACACGTGTAGTTTTTATCTTTGCAGATATGAAAAAGGAAGCACGAAGGCAAAGCTGAGAGACACAGATGCTACCCACAGGGCAGCAGTGGCATTTGGTTGTTTTGGTCTTTGTACCAGCAACTCCCACAGCCCAGCAGATATCCAGTTCCTGCTGGGTTAGACGGTTTTCCTTGCAGTCAAGACTCGAACGATGGACCCCACTCCTCCAGCAGCAAGTGCCTGAAAAAAATCAAAAGGTAAAGGTTGATAGAATCATAAATGATCAATTCTTATATTAAGTAAAACACTTTCTTAAAAGAGGGAATGTGTGCAGCTATAGATTTTGAATTCATGAATAAATACTTCTTGAGCACCTATGATACACCAGGCACTGCTCTTGACACTGAGGACATAGTAATAAACAAAACCCTCAAAGCCTCTGCCCTCATGCACTTAAATTCCAATGAGATTCTAGTTTACATTCTAGTATGCTATTTCCAAATAACAGTAATAGGTTAAAAAAAAAATTCTGCAGCGTAATAAAACCAACCAACCAACCCCGTTGCCATCAAGTCAATTCTGACTCATGGCAACCCCATGTGTGTCAGAGTAGAACTGTGCTCCACAGGGTTTTCAATGGCTGATTTCTTGGAAGCAGATTGCCAGACCTTTCTTCCAAGGAGCTTCTGCATGGACCAGAACTGCCAATCCTTTGGTTACCGGCTGAGCACGTAAACCATTTACATCACCCAGGGACTCTTGCAGCACAATGGTCTTGCCTAAAACAGGTCCTCAAAGATAAATTTAGGACACTAGAGATATGCATATTTAAAGAAACAATGGTGATAACAGAAGTAGTAGAATTTATTTTTAAGAGCATATAAAAATTCTTGCCTCTCATTTTAAGCACACAATCTGGGATCAACCACCCCAACTTCCATTTAGATTAGAATCAAAGCTTGTCAGATTTTTTCCTCCCAAGCTAACAAGATATTATTTATAACAGCTGACTGGGAAAGTTTAACCTGACTTTATCTTAAAAAACTGGAAGTCATAATTAAGTATTAGGAATTTGAAGCTCTAGTTTACTTCTGTTCAGAAAACACTATCTTTGTGTACTGGGTACTGTGCTAGATGCTGGGGATGCAAAATTGAACAAATACAGCATCTGCTAGTCTAGTGGGAGGAGACAGACACGTAAATGTGTAATTTTAACGTAATATATGAAATGACACAGTTATGTTTAGGGTGATAAACAGTAACAAAAGTGCTGAGAAGGGTCATGTACCCAGCCTGAGGATATAGAGGAGTGTGTCAGGTAAGGCTTGCTGGAGAAAATGACACATTAAAATGATGAGTAGGTGACAGACTGAGATAAGAGGGACATGAAGGCATTCAGGCAGAGAGAGAATCATGAGCAGAGGTATGGAAGTGTGAAAATTATGGTGCGTTCAGGGACTAGGTTGGCACTACTGCAGCATAAGGGGACGAACAATGGGGAAGATGAGGCTGAACATGGAAACTGAACTTTATTCTGAGGTGAGTGACAAGAACAGATTTGGCTTAGAGAGTTCTGGTGGCTGGGTGGAGAACATATTTGAAGGAGGCAAAACTGGCAGCCGGGAGATTGGCTGGAAGCTATAGCAACAGACTAGTAGCGATGCTGTGAACAGCTGCATTAGAGATGCACCTGAGAGGATGGATTTGAGGAGTATCTAAACGATGCATTTGGCAAAAACTGGTGACCGATGTTAGGAACAAGCAGAGATGTTAACACAGTGCTTCAGTCTTCCCATCTACAAGAGGGAGTAACAGCAGGTCTTTCCTCCTATTTTTTTTAAAAACATAATTTTAAAATAATTTTATACTGAAGAAAAACTGCAATAGTAGTACAAGGAGTTCAGGAATGCCTTTCGCCCAGCTTCTCCTAATGTCCTGGTTATTCTCTACTGCAAAAGAACAAGTCATGTAGATTTATAATTCATAACTTACCTTTTCATGCCACTGCAATAACACAGCACTGCTATTATCAGAGGGGCTCTCAAAGCCTTTATAAATATACTTCATTAGGAGATCCACACCATTCTTGTCTAGAGATTGAACTGCCTTCTCAATATCATTAGCTTTAAAAGAGATGAGCACCTTCAAGACAATGCTGCCTGCTCGATCCTGAGGGTAAACAAATAACAGAACATTTAGACGCACGTGTGTGGGGTTGCAATTTTAGAAAGGCAAGGCTGCAAAGGTGACATTTGAATAAAGATCTGAAAGACCGTAAAAGAGGACGCCTTAAGGATATCTGAGGAAAGAGTGTTTCAGACAGGAAAGAACAAGTGCCGTTAGTGTATTTATGGAATAGCAAAGAGACCCAATGCCTGGAGCGGAGTGGTGGAGAATAGCAGGAAAGGAAGTCAGATAGGTAATGGGAGGCCAGATTGCGTAAAGCCTGTAGGCCACTGTAAGGATTATGGCTTTCACTCTCAGAGAAATGAGAAGATCTTGAAAGGGTTTGAGAAGAGCAGTGACATAATCTGACTTATAAGAGGATCATGTGGTTCTTATACTGAGAATAAACTGGGAGTGGGGCTGGGGGTGAGGAGGCAGAGCAGGCAAACCAATTAGGAAGTTACTGTAATAATACAGGCAACAAATGATAGTGGTTCAGCTAGCATGATAGCAAGGGAGGTGGTGAGAAGTGGACACATTCTGGACATACTTGAAGGCAGAGCTGACAGGATTTGCTAAGAGATCAGATTGTGATAGTTTATTAAATCAATGTTTAAATTTTACTTCTTGATCTTAAGAGAAAAATCCCAACAAAACAAGTAAATCAATCTGCAGTTCAATTCAACCTTGAACTACCCCTCTGAAATGTTTTATTCACTATTATTTGACTACAGATATGATATACATTATCTTTGTTCATAACGATCTTTTTTCTTTGGCAAAAGGCTGCTCCAAAAGCAGTTATTTTCTTACCCATCAAGCCAAGCAAACAGAACACTTAATTTACACTTTCTAGAATTTGTTTCTCCTTCTATTCAAGACAAAGTGATACCCTTCAGCATTCCTGCTGGTCAGGATTTTACAAAATGTTTCTACCACCTATTGTTACCTTCAGTGTAGAGAATATGCAATTACTTGATTTAGAAAAATATCTTTGCCTCCAGAGCTATAACCTCCCACCCACAAGCTGTGACAAAATTCACTCATATAAAAGCAGGAAGTGGAAAAACTGAAATTTCAATCAAGCTCCCCACAACGTTTAGAAACCAAAGGCCTTGTCCCCTGTTGCCTAGTTAATTATTATGCATTTCCCTAAATTATTATTTATACTCTTCTGTTCAGAAGATTCTTGAGTCTCCTAGGATGTATGAATAGCCACTGACAGCGGGGTCAACGCTGTGGGCTTCACTGTAAACAATAAATATATAATAAGTAAGTAAGGAAATAGGGTTCTTAAGAATTACTAAAGACTGCTGCTGGGAATGTAAATTGCACAACTTTTCTGAAGGGCAATTTGGTCATACCACATGCACAAAAGCCTTAGGGAAAAAAAGTGCATTCTTTTATCCAAAGAATGTATCCAAAGGAATGAAGAAGTTACACAAAATTGCTCATTTTAGTATAGTACAGGAAAACAATGGTCAATAATTTAAATGTGTGGTGAAAGGAGATTAGTAATATATAAACTGCAGCATATGTATACACAGCTATTAAAAATTATAAATTACTATTAAAAATTATTTCCTTATTACTAAGGAAAGAATCGCATGTACATCGCTCTAAAAAGCAGGTTATAAAATTCCATTTGGAAGCAAAAAAAAACAGAAAAAATCTTTGAGCATATAGCCACACCAAAAGGTAACAACCACTATCTCTGGGAGTTGGGATTATGGATGATTACTTTTTTAATCCCCCCATATCTCTGTGTTTTCTATAATAAATATTTAAGACTAGTTTAATTTTCAATAAATCTTTTAAAAGCAAGCAAACAGAGTCTGTTTATTTTTGTAAATGTTTTACTTATTCTTTGTTTAAATTCAACCTGCGTGGCGTCCTCTTAAAATGCCCACAGGACTGACGTCTTTGTCATTTGAACTTCTTGAACTTACTGTGTCTACCATGCAGCACTGTCGTAACTGTATACAAGCGCTATTTTTTTTTGCAAATTTTAACTTATCAAACCAAACTGTAAGCTCTTTCATGTCAAAGAGAGTAAATAATTAAAATATTTGTTGATTCTGTGAACCTTCACAGGCTTTTGGTCTGAATGAAGATATCAGCAGGGATCACCATGCTGTCTGTGACTCACCTTCACTGCCTGACTCTTGGTGTTGATAGGGGGGTTTTTCAGAGCTGCCTGTAGAGCGGCTGTCATGTTTCCTGTGAGGGAGATTAAGGGCATAACGGCAAAGGGCTGCCCTCAGGTAAGCATTATAACCTTTGGGAACCACTGGCTTTCAGGACGACTTTATGTATAAAGAGAAAAAATTACTATGTTCACTATGTTCAGTATTGGAAATTCAATGTGCTGGCTTCAAGGCTGTCAATCAAAGGTTAAAATACCAAAAACAAAAGAGAACATTAGACTTTTAATGTTTTTAATACAACAAAGACCATTTTACCCTTGGTTCTTAACTATCAAGCAGCCCTGGCGGCATAGTGGTTAAGCACCTGGCTGCCAACTGAAGGTCAGCGGTTCGTAAATTCAAGGCTCCAAGGCAGAAAGTCGTGGCAGTCTGCTTCTGTAAAGATTAACCCATTGCCACTGAGTTGATTCCGACTCATACAGCCTTGGAAACCCTATGGGGCAGTTCTACTCTGTCTATAGGGTCACTATGAGTCGGAATCTACTCAACAGCAATCGGTTTAGTTTTTTTGTTCTTAACTATCAAATGAACACCTTGATAACCTTCCACTTTCCAGTGAGACACACATGCACATTATCCAGAGTGGTACGGAAGAAAATCTAAAATATATATATTAGAATTATTAAATTCCAAAATGAAACAGCCTGCCATCAACCAAAATACATCTTTTTATGTGTTTCTAACTGGGTGGGTGGGGGGCACCAAACTTTTACCAGAATTATATTCTATATTAATTGAAATGCTGGTTGAAAATGCTGGCAGATTACCCAGCTAATCTGAATGATATACATTAGTAATCTCTTAATATTGATGAAAAGAGGCATTACAGAAAGTGTAATAATTCATACGACCCTTAGGTGGTGGCTTAAATGTTCTGTTTTGGATATTTTCTTTCATATTTCATAAAGGTTATTCAAACTGTCTTAGACTATATCTATTAAACTCAGTCTCTCTTTGAAAGCACCAGTGAGTAAGCAAACATAAGAAACAGTAAGCCAATCAGACTGTCAGAATGTACAGTCATTCCCCTAAAAGGAAAACCACACAGAGTTCACTTGTTTCCTCCATCTCTAGTGCCTGATGCCCTCAGTGCAGGCAGGGCTGTCTCCCTCGGTTATAACAAGGGTAGGAGAGACAATATATTTGAAGATGAATTGATGTAACAGCAGACCCCACTGATACGGGTACAGTAGTACCATTTAAGAGTCACTACAAATCACCTAAAATATGTTAAACTGGTCTCACAAAACATTTATCCATCACAAAGAATGTTTAGAAAAAGGAGTAATAATCACCACTTATCTTCTGAAGAGAAAGGTCTAATAAATCTATGGTTGGTGGTAAACTGTTATTTTCAAGTCTGCATGAACTTCTAGAGAAGCACGCCTTTTGTGGCTCATTAAGATGCAAAACATTTCACAAACATTTAAATAATGCAAAATAGTAACAGCTGATTGTGAAAGTTGCAGAAACCAAAGGAACATCTGCATGTTGATAAACGTTTAATGCTGTATTTTAGGTGCCTTTAAGACTGGATATAGCTGATACCAAATATTTTCACTCATATATTTTCTCCATTATAATTTAATAGGACATCGATGAGGAAAGAGTATAAAAAGCTTTCCTTATCGTAAACATACGCTCAAGAAAAATTTGAAAAGTATAAAGTTCAGTCATTGAGAATCTCTCAAACTACAGCTTGTTACTGCAACATCTACATTTTTCTAAAAAGATCTGATGCAAGTGCTAATTACAAGGTATGAATATTCAGATATGCAAAAATAAAAACCAGGAACTGGCAGTTTAACTGAAATGGAAACAATTTCAGGATTACAAAAGCGATTCTGCTTTATAGAAATGACTTATCTTCTATTTTATTCATTGGGGTTTATTTGAAGTATTTCTAGTGATTCTGCATATGCATTCCATTTTCTCTGTATTGTCCCCTTCTTAGCAGGTAAAGCGCTTCAAGCTTCCTTCTCGGGAGTTTTGAGGTTTTTGTAGTCACTTCCCTCCTCCGATTACAAATTCTGTGCAACCTCTATTTTGCCAAATTCTTTCTCGTTATTGAAAAAAAAAAAAGGAAGAAAAGAAAAAAGCCCACGGGCTGAAAAGACACAGGGCTTCAATTCTGCGAACCGCCCCAATCCTCCTGGCAAGTAATAAACTAGCCTAACGTTACCAGAAACAAAACATTAACAAACCACCACCACCACCAACCCTCCTCCCCACCAAAAGCACTAAAGAAAGACGCCAGCAATCAGAAACTTCTGGTTAATGTGACCCAGCAAATACCGTTCTGGGGAGGAACACTAAACCTCCCGGGGCAGTGACAAGCGCCAGATGTCGCCCCAGCACCGCGAGGGCGCGGCCGGCAAAGCGAGCTCCCGGGGGCAGCCGCTCCACGCGCAACCTGAGGAATCCCGGGCGTGGGAAGCGCGGCGCGAAGGGCAAGCTGCCGACAGCGGGAACCTGGGGTCCCGAAGCGGCTCGGTTAGAAAGGGAAGAGCCTCTCCCTCTCAGAATGGGGGACCGCAATCAGATAGGTTCACTGCGGGCCGCTGGGCGGCAATTCCGCGCCCATCCCCGCGAGGGGCCCGTGGTCCTCAGACCCTGCAGGGCGGCGGGGTCCGGGGAGAGGGGTCGGGTGGGGAGGGAGCGAACGCAAGGATATTGTCGCAGGCAAGAGTCCACCTCGCCCTCGTCGGGCCCGGCTTGGCCGTCGCCCCCATCTTCCTCGTCCACGAACTTGTTCTCGTCGTACTCATCCACGTCCACCTTCCGGAACCGGGCCGACGACACCGTGTTCTTCGACATCTCCGATCCCCACCGGTGGCAAAGGCCTCCTCTCGGTGCTACCTCTACCAGAGCAACCCCTGCCCAGCAGGAACCCACAGGCTGTCGCCTCCACTTCCCTCTTCCGCTCTGGGGCGTCGCCGGCAGCAGCGGCTTGGGCGGTTCTGGGCCTGCGCGCGGGCCCGGCTCCGGCCTCCTCAGGTTCAAGCACTTCTCCAGCCTACGCCGCCCCCGCTCTCCCGGGGAGCGCGCGCGAGGGAGGGAGCGCGCAGGACCCAATGCGCAGGCGCGGACTCTCTGCAGGAAAGGGGCAGGGCTGGAAGAAGGAGGCGGGGGCGGGATAAGAGGGAAGGCACAAAGCAGAGGAGAGAGGCGATTGGTCGCCCAAGTGCATCACGTGATCCACAGGGGGTTCCCATAGAAACGCTTCTCTGCGGTCCAGCCTGGGGGGTCCTAGGTCGGCGGGGATGGGCACCGGGGGCGGGTGGCTTTGGCTTTTGCTGCCGCTACCGCCTCCGCTGAGCAGTCATTGGAGTCCTGCGTAAGGTCCGGCTGGCCCAGACTTGTCAGTGTGGTGGGATGGGCTGGTTGCCGGACCCAGTCCCCTGCAGTCGGCAGAAGAATGGGGCGGAGTCGTGCACGCCTGGGTGCCCAGCATCGTGCTAGTTGTCGAAGACATCGCTTCAGAACGTGCTCTGCCCGGGGCTGCATTCCCTAGCTGGGAGCCCCTTCCCCGAGGGTAGAACTACGCTGCATGCCCAGTGAGAGGTTTCCAAGGACGGAGTCAAAAGGTCATATCTTATCTCTCAGTGCTGGTGATAGCATCGTGACGGGACCTGCAGAACCTAAACTCGGTATCATATCTATTGGGAGAGAGGGGAAGGTGTCTGGGCAGGGCTGGAGTCAGGTGGCAAAACTGGGGTGAACGTGTAGAATTTGGGGTAGGATCACTCATCACTGATACCTGAAAATAAGTGGTTGGAGCAAGAATGCCAGAGAAAGGTGGGGCGAGTTAGGCTCTGGTGCTGAAGGAAAACCAAATGTGTCTGGAATAGTAGAAACCAGATCTTTAAGATTTGTGTTTATGATTTACATGACCCCACTAGACCAGCTTTTTAACTATATTTGACATCCTTATTTCTGAGAGCAGAGCTCTTATTGAGGAGGTAAAGGCACTAAGGAGGAGGTAGTTGTGCTCTGTGTATTACATAAACTACAAATTAAAAGTCCAAATATTTGCAGAATACAATTAATTTGGACATTTCGTTGGACATTGCTTGGGTGGTTTCATATTTTCCTGCCATCCTATCAGTCCAGTTTAGTTCCACCTCTAGGAGAAGGCCAGCTGTTACCCCTGGTTGAGTACTCCAATCCCTGGTTTCCTATGATGTATAGAAAAGCGTCCTGGGCTTTGAAGCAGAAGACCCTGGCTTGAGTCTTGGTTCTTCCACTTATAATCTGTATAATCTGTTTTAATTGAGGCATGCCACTTAAAATTCTGAATCTCAGGTTCTTTATCGCTAAAATGGGGATAATAATGATCACTTAACCGGATTGTTCTGAGGTTTTAAATACACAAAAGTGTTTTGAAGCTCTAAAATTTTACATAAATGTAAAATGCATATTACCTGTACCATTGGCTTTGGCATTGGTCTTATAGCTTACTTAATGATATATCATGTTTTATCTTGCTCCCAGAGGAGATTGCAAAATTCTGGAGGACAGAGACCTGGCATATTTATTTTGTATCTTCCTTTACATGCAGAAGATATTGAATAAATGCTTGATGAATGAATGAAGTGTGAAAGGCAGTACAGGTTGAGGGTCACACTGAGAATGATGAATCAGTAAGAAGAGAAAAATGTCAAATCAAACCTTTATGTTATGTATACATATATGTGGAAAGAGGGGGAAAAAAGGAGAAGGGAGAGAGAGAGAGGGAGAGACAGACAAACAGACACTCCTCAAGAATGGAATGCTTCCTTTTATCTTGGGAGGAAAAAGCAATGTGGCTTTTTTTCTTTTCCCAATTAAATCACCCTTCTAGAAGATAAAGAATTAAGATGATAAAAGTGACATTTCCTTAAATTGACATTCAAATTAAAAACTCCCTAGGATTCTCTTAAAACAGCAAAGGAAAATTTTCTACCTGTTGGTAATACTTATTTTAAAATGTCATATACCAAAGTATCAGGTTATTACTATGTTGAATGGCTTTATATAACTTAGAATAAAGATGTATTTTAATATTTTTTCTCCATTTCAATCTTTTGCTAACTTTAGCACAAACTAAACAATATTCTTCTCTAGATGCTAAAGATTGTACTTTTTGTAGTTTTAAATCAAGATTTTCTTTGAAGAGAAAATTGAACATGAAAAGCACTGTTGAACAAATGGAAACAAAGATTGCAGAGCTAATTCATTCCTTTCTTACATTTCTATTCTTTTGTATTAATTCTTATTTAGGAAATCTTTTTTTTCTCTCTTATTTTGGAACTGGGAAAGACTCCTTCGATTAAAATCAATTTGAGAGAATAGTGAGAAGAATTTTAAAAATTGGGGATACTCAGTGGTATAATTGTTTTGATTGCTCAGAATGTGTTGAATGTGTTACATACAATTAATTCTCAGCCCCAAAATGTATATTACATTTCAGATGTCAAAAGGTCTTTTTCCAATGCAGTATTTTTTATTGTCTCACAGTGATCTAAGTGCCTCGTATATTAGGTACTCAGTAAATTTCTATTGAATAAATTTATGATCTGACAAGTTACTTTTGGAATCATATTTAGAGACTGAGTATTTTTGAATGGATACATTCCAGCTGCCCCTTGGAAACCCTATGGGGCAGTTCTACTTTGTCCTATAGGGTGGCTATGAGTCAGAACTGACTCAACAGCACATAACGACAACAACATGCCTGCTAGCTAATAGTTAAATATTTATAAAGCCTCAGGGAATTTTTTTTTTTTTTTGGGAGAAACTTGTTCTTAATTATCTTTTAATTAACAAATTGTTATCTCACTTCGTGTTAACAATGATAATTAATTTTAGATAATAGTATTCTACCTATTTTAATGTTTTAAATGAGTGCTTACTCTTGACATAAAGTATTCATAAGGTTTTAAGACATTTTATTTATTGTGCGAAATAACTTGGTTTGGTCCAATATCAAAGCAAGACTGAATCTGAGTTTTCTCAAGATTAATGCTACATGATAGTCTGTAGCTCCTTTTTATTTTCTGTAAAGAAGCAAAGAGCCAAGAATCATTTGAGTTAGAAGGGAGTCTGATAAATTTATCTTATAATAGGTCTTTCTTTTCAGATTTTTTAAAACCAAGTACTCTCCGATGTGCGTCTTTTCCCCAAAATTGCCACTAAATGCTTAAAAAACAAACCAAGACATTAAATCCTGCCAGCACAGCACCATTATTTTTATTATCTGAAATGGAAGTATACTCAGTTTTAAACAAATATGTCAAATGTGTATTATAAATACAAAATAAAGAAAATCCAGTTCTGGTGATGATTTAATATCAGTATTCTCTAGCAACATAACTACTATAATATAAAGATTCTTATCATATTTCTATAAACTATGTTATGGTTTAATTCCTACTTAACGTCCAAACCAACTGATTCTGTGCCGAAACAACCAACCTTCAAAATTTCAAGTTTTTTCTTTGTTATTATTTTTTAGCTTTATGTAACTTTATGATTACTCACTGAAACAGAATAGATAGGGTGAAATATTTTTCAGTAGGACCTTTCATTAGATAATAATACTTCAGAGATTAAAAAAACTATAAAACTATAAAAACTCTTGTCTCAGGGTAAGTGTTTAGTGCTGAATGAAAGAGTAAACATTGTTTTGGAAACATTGTTGTGAGTGAGCCTTTTTTCCATTTAATTTTATAATGGCTATGAGGATATAAGGAGTCCTGGTGGTGCAGTGGTTAAGAGCTCAGCTGCTAACCAAAAGGTTGGCAGTTTGAATCCATTAGCTGCTCCTTGAAACTCTATGGGGCAGTTTTACTCTGTCCTATAGGGTCACTGTGTGTTGGAATCGACTTGATGGCAACAGGTTTTGGTTTGGTTTATGATGATTTAAAGGGAAGCTATTGATTTAAAAAATATTTATCTTGTATTCTTTCCCATTATTGGGTCTCTTATTAATGATAATAGTTATTTTAAGATTGCATCTCTTGTCTCAATATATCATCAAACTATTTGAAATAATGATAATTTACATTTTCTCTCCCAATATTTATATCATTTATTTTTCTTATCTTATTACATTAGCTAGAATCTTGAAAATGGTATTGAGAAGTTGGGTGATAGTAGGCTTCCTTGTTTTGTTCCTATTTTAATAGAAATGTTTTTGGTATTTCACCAGGTGATATTATATTTACTATTGCTTTATGATCTTTAGGAATGACTGCTAAATTTATCAAATGCTTTTTTGAGTATCTAATGATAAAAATCATATCATTTTAAGCTTTTAATTTATGAAAGTAGTGAATTATCTAGTTTTCTACATTGAAACATTCCCACATTCCTAGAATGCACTCTGTTTGGTTATTAAATGTTATTCTTTTAATTCCTTGCTGGATTTGATTAGCTTATATTTTGTTTATATGGTTCAGAATCTATATTTTTAAATAAGATTGGTTCATAGTTTTATTTCTTTGTGCAATTTTTATGTGGTTTTGATATTAGGGTTGGTCTAGCTTTGTCAAATGAATTAGGAAGGTTTGCATATTTTTCTTATGGTTTGGAATAGTTTTTAATAATAGCCAGTTCTGATGCTGTTTGTTCTGTCTTAGTCATCTAGTGCAGCTACAACAGAAATACCACAAGTGGATGGCTTTAACAAAGAGAAGTTTATTTCTTCACAGTAAAGTAGGCTAAAAGTCCAAATTCAGGGCATCAGCTCCAGGGGAAGGCTTTCTCTCTCTGCAGCCTTCTCATCAATGTTTCCCCCGACTAGGAGCTTCTCCATGCCGAGACCCTGGATCCAAAGGACATGCTCTGCTCCTGGCACTGCTTTCTTGGTGGTATGAGGTCCCGCTGTCTCTCTGCTCACTTCTGTCTTTTATATCTCAAGAGATTGCCTCAGGACACAATCCAGTCTTGTAG